TTATGAACTTGGAGAAATGATGAAAGTCATATAAGTGTTCAGATCTTTTGTTCATAGCGTTACTATGAGTCGTCTATGACTCGGCAGCACTTAACAACAGCAACAACAATAATTGAGATTTTAATGAAAGATTATAAAGAACTTGGATTTCCATTCATTCATTGTTGCACATTTTCCTCCCTGCCTATTCCCCTCTCCCAAAGTTCACTTTTCTCTTTGAGAAGAAAAAAAAAATTCTTTCATTATTATACAGTCCCCACAGTCCACTTTACTATGCAGCTCTTATTCTGGAGTCCTCCCATGCAAATGATACCTAACATTTTAAACAGTTCTCTCCTACAGCTGTGCACATTATTTATCCCTTCTTTTCTTAGTTTCCTCGCAAACCCAATGTCAGTCTTGTTTTATAACAGTGGCACTTTGCAATATTTGTCCTTTTGTGATTGAGATATGTCACTCAGCATAATGTCCTCCAAGGTCACCCATTTTGTATAATATTTCATGAGTTCCTTGTTTTCCAATGTAGCATGGTATTCCGTTGTATGAATATACCACAGTTTTTCTGTCCATTCTTTTTTTGATGGGCTCTTGGGTTGTTTCCAACTCTTTGCTATTGTGAACAAAGCAGCAATAAACATAGGTATGCATATATCTGCTTGAGTGGCACTTCTGCTTTCTCTAGGATATATTCCCAGTAGTGGAATTGCTGGGTCAAATGGTATTTCTATTTCCAACTTTTTGAGAAAGCGCCATACTGCCTTCCATTGTGGTTGCACCATTTTACACTTCCACCAACAGTGAATAAGGGTTCCAGTTTCTCCACAACCTCGCCAGCATTTGTTGCTTGTTGTTTAGTTAAATTTTGCTATTCTTACTGGGGTAAGAGGATATCTCATAGCTGTTTTGATTTGCATCTCTCTTAGAGCTAGGGATTTTGAACATTTCTTTATGTGTTTGTTCGCCATCTGAATGTCTTCTTTGGTGAAATGACTGTACATATCCTGTGTTCATTTTTTTTTGTTTGTTTTTAATTTTTATTGGGAAAAGCATATTGGGGGTACAAGGAGGTGAGGGTTGGGGGCAGAAGGATAAGGATGGGCCAGGATGCAGTTGAAGAACTGCACAGTTTGGTCAGTGGGGGGAGCAGGAGAAGGAAATGATGAGGGTCCAGTGGGGACCAGATACTACAGAGGAATGACAAGCATTTTCCAATAGTAATTAAATCAACTGTCTTATTGATTAGAGAATTGGATGCTGACTCTCTGGCTTCTTCATGCTGAACAGGGGCGTAGATGTAAAGGGGGGAAGGGAGGAC